TCCTGCCTCAGCCTCCCGAGTAGCTGGGACTACAGGCTCCCGCCACCTCGTCCGGCTAGTTTTTTGTATTTTTTGGTAGAGACGGGGTTTCACCGTGTTAGCTAGGATCGTCTTGATCTCCTGACCTCGTGATCCGCCCGTCTTGGCCTTCCAAAGTGCTGGGATTACAGGCTTGAGCCACCGCTCCCGGCCTGGAATTCCTATTTTAAAGAAATATATTCTGAAACATTAAAGCAATGTTTCAAAAAATTCAGGGTGGAGGGAGACTAGGAGGCATAATTGAAACAAAATGGCTTATAATTTTTTTTTTTTTTTTTTAGATGGAGCCGCCTCTGTCACCCAGGCTGGAGTGCAGTGGCATAATCACAGTTTGCTGCAGCCTCCGCCTCCCATGCTCAAGTGATCCTCCGCCTTAGCCTCCCAAGTAGCTGGGACTATAGGTGCACACCACCATACCTGGCTCATTTTTGTAATTTTTGTAGAGAAAGTGTTTCACTGTGTTGCCCAGGCTGGTCTGGAACTCCTGAGCTCAAGGCATCTACCTGCCTCAGCCTCCCAAAGTGCTAGTATTACAGGTGTGAGCCACCTCACTGGTTTATTCTTCCTTCTCTTTAAGCGATAGAGATAAAGTAGTCAAGACGATAACATTTGCTTTTTAAACACCTTCTGTCCCCAACCTTAGCATCTCCCTGGATATGATTAGGCCCCTAGCCACTCTTCAGCGCTACCCACTGGGAGGCATGCTTCTGATAAAACTGAGCGGTGCTGCAGTACTAGGAGCTTAAAGTGTTACCACTCCAGAGACATTCACTGTAGCCAGGAGGTGAGAAGAAGCCATCTCGTAGTAACACAAACAAAGAAACTGCTATTGGTGAAGGTTCAAGCATCGATGGCAGGCCAAAGGGAGGACATTTCTGAGTGGATTGGCGGTGGGGAGAAAGTCCTCCAAGTGGTTCTCAAATCATGCTTTTTATAGACAGCCCTGGCAGAGGGCGTTTAAAAAAAAATTATTTCAACCAGGTGTGGTGGCTTATGCCTGTAATCCCAGCACTTTGGGAGGCTGAGGCGGGCGGATCACAAGGTCAGGAGATCGAGACCATCCTGGCTAACATGGTGAAACCCCGTCTCTAATAAAAATATGAAAAAGTAGCCAGGCGTGGTGGCAGGCACCTGTAGTCCCAGCTACTCGAGAGGCTGGGGCAGGAGGATGGCATGAACCTGGGAGGCAGAGCTTGCAGTGAGCCAAGATCGTGCCACTTCACTCCAGCCTGGGTGACAGAGCGAGACTCCATCTCAAAAAAAAAAAGAAATTATTTCTCTTCTCTGAGCCATTATTATCCTGAGCAGCAGGCTTTGAACTCACTGTCATTCAGAGACAGTGCATTAAGTGTGGGCAACGGAGTGAATTGGGAAAACTCTGTTTCCTGAATATAAGACGAAGAAAAAGGCATTTACAGGCTGGGTGTGGTGGCTCATGCCTGTAATCCCAGCACTTTGGGAGGCCAAGGCGGGCAGATCACGAGGACAGGAGTTTGAGACCAGCCTGTCCATATGGTGAAACCCCATCTCTACTAAAAAATACAAAAATTAGCCGGGTGTGGTGGTGGGCGCCTGTAGTCCCAGCTACTCAGGAAGCTGAGGCAGAATTGCTGGAACCTTGGAGGTGGAGGTTGCAGTGAGCCGAGATCACGCCACTGCACTCCAGCCTGGCAACAGAGCCAGACTCCGTTTCAAAAAAAAAAAAAAAGAAAGAAAGAAAAAGAAAAAGGCATTTAACCTCTCCAGGTGTGCCATGGGCAGAACCTGAGCTAATTGCTAGTGTGTAGGGCCTGGCCTGGCACCAGTCACATCTGGTAGCAGGTTCTCATTAAATGCTACTCCCTTCACATCTCCTACATACCCCTGAGGAATTGGTCTGTTATTATAAGGAGAAATGAGCAGAACAGGGCTCCGAAACTCTACTTAGCTGGTGAAAATCCCAACCTGTCCAGCCAGTCCTGCCTCAGACCTCCACAGGCTGCTACCTTTATGCCTTACAGGCATTTTGCACACCTTTGTGCTTTTTGGTTTGTTTGTTTTAGTTCTTTTATGCTGTTTGTTTGCATATAATTCTGTACCCATGCATACCAGGCAACCCCACCTAATGCTGCATCAGTCACCCCTACGTTACCCTACTTCATAGCACTTATCTGAAGTGATTTTATTTGTTTGTGTATTTGCATGATTATCAGTTATTCCCCCTAAAAAGTCGTCTCTATGAAGGTAGCAACTTTGCCCTGTTCACTACTTTGTCTACCATATCTGGCTCAAAAGAGGTGCTCCAGAAAGGTTTATAGATTACAAGAATGAATGAATGAATGAATGGCCATGCACATGCGTGTCTTCCAGAGGAAAGGACGGGCAGATGGGTGGGAGAGCTGTAGCTCAACAGGGACTGGGGCTAGTCCTTCTCCCCAGCATGGGCCCTCACTGTAGCCCTCACCTGCACTGCATGTGACCTTCCATCCTTCCTTTCATCTTCCCTATAGTTTTTCTTTTAATAGATTTATTTGAGCTTTTAGTTACAAAAGCAGTACTTATTATTTTTTTAAAAATCCAAAATTAACTTTGGGAGACCAAGGCAGATCACTTGAGCCCAAGAGTCTAAGACCAGCCTGGGCAACATAGTGAGACCCCCATCTCTACAAAAAAAAAATTAAAAATTAGCCAGGTCAGCTGGGCACGGTGTCTCAGGCCTATAATCCTAGCACTTTGCGAGGCTGAGGTGGGTGGATCACCTGAGGTCAAGAGTTCGAGACCAGCCTACCAACATGGTGAAACCCTGTCTCTACTAAAAATACAAGAATGAGCCAGGTGTGGTGGTGGACACCTGTAGTCCTAGCTACTCGGGAGGCTGAGGCAGGAGAATCACCCCTCTACCTTCACTGCCTCCATCTGCAACCCAGATTAGGACAACTTCCCCAACCACCTTGCTGGCTGTAGAGCAAGAGTTCAGGGAGAAATCCACAGGCAGAGGTGAGGGATGCCATGGAGGAGCTGCAGAGACCAGCCAAGTCAGAGCTCAGGAGCATGAAAGAGGTAGTCAATGACAGACCACAACAAACAAAATAACAGCTTTGTTGTTTTTTTTTTAGTTAATGACTGAATAGTTTTTTATGAGAAGGTGGGGATAAGGTTTCTTTCTCTTTCAGATCTTGTGTGGTGGACTACCCCAAGCCAAGAAGCTGGAGAACAGACAGGAGGCAGGAGATGGAGACCTCAGGAAGAGGAAGAAGGGAGGGCCAGAGGGAAGGGTGAAGGTAGGGTGAGTGGAGGTAGCCAGGACAGGAGGAAGCAGGCAAAGACAAGGAAGCAGCCTTTGGAGCCTCCCCTGTGGGGCAGCTGTACACACAAGGCTCTCTGTGATGCCTGGCAGGCTGATGGCACAATGGTGAGGATGATAGACGCAGGATGGAGCCAAGAGGGGTTGAGTGGCGCTGGGGATAAGAGAAGACGCTTGGCCGGGTGCAGTGGCTCAAGCCCGTAATCCCAGCACTTTGGGAGGCCGAGACGGGCAGATCACGAGGTCAGGAGATCGAGACCATCCTGGCTAACACGGTGAAACCCCGTCTCTACTAAAAATACAAAAAAACTAGCCGGGCGAGGTGGCGGGCGCCTGTAGTCCCAGGTACTCAGGAGGCTGAGGCAGGAGAACGGCGTGAACCTGGGAGGCGGAGCTTGCAGCGAGCTGAGATCTGGCCACTGCACTCCAGCCTGGGCGACAGAGCGAGACTGTGTCTCAAAAAAAAAAAAAAAGAAAAGAAAAGAAAAAAAGAGAAGACCCTTGCCCTGGGCAGCCATAGGGAGTCTTCCTTGATGGGCACATGATCCCTCACTGATGGGAGCCAGGAAGACAGACACCCAATGCACCAAGGCCCAATTTTGCTCCCCTTCCCTCCACTCTGGTTTGGAAACCTTGTATTCTACTTGCAATCTCAAGCCCAGACTTTACTCTTTTTCCTAACCAATAAAAACTTCACCCCAGAGCTTTTATCCAAAGAGTATGAATATCTGGAATAAGAGGGCAATCTTAGGGAAGAGGTGACCCTGGCTGTGGAGGTAGGAGCAGATGGGCCCACAGTCCCGGGTGTCCCTAAATGCCAAGAGACAGATCCAAATACAAAGATGAGCATTTGGAGACACAGGAGCACATACATGTGCAGGCTTACACAAGCACACACACAGCCACATAGCCACACGCTACACATACACAGGCACTTATGCACATATCCACACAGGCGTAGATACTCTGGCAGGCACATACTCACAGAGGCGCACACACACACACACATACAAATACACACAAGCACACTCACAGGCACATTCGCACAGGTGGAAATTCACACACAGGCACAGATACACACTGATGCAGGCACATGCATGAGCAACACACAGGTATACAGGAACACACACATGCCCAGACACACACATCTACACACACCCAGGCACCCACCCACTGGCCGGGGTCGGCAGCTCACACCTGTAATCCCAGCACTTTTGGAGGCTGACATGGGTGGATCACCTGAGGTCAGGAGTTTGAAACCAGTCTGGCCAACATGGTGCAATCCCTTCTCTGCTAAAAATACAAAATTGCTGGGCCTGGCACACCTGGCGGGTGCCCGTAATCCCAGCTACTCGGGAGGATGAGGCAGGAGAATCGCTTGAACCCAGGAGGCAGAGGCTGCAGTGAGCCAAGATCGCGCCACTGCACTCCAGCCTGGGCAAGAGTGAAACCCTGTAGAAAGAAAGGAAAGGAAGGAAGGAAGGAAGGAAGGAAGGAAGGAAGGAAGGAAGGAAGGAAGGAAGGAAGGAAGGACAGGCTCCCACACATGCACACTTAAACACATACACGCACACCCCATAATTCAAACACCAGTTGCCCTAGGCCACGTGAGAGTATCCTGGCCAGCTGCCCTGAGTAGTTCACTCTGGGCTATAGCCCGGGCCCTCCTCCTTCTCTGCCCCACCCCCAGCTGGTTGTATAAATTCCTTCCCTTTGCTCCTTCCCTGGAACAACGGCCTCTAACACCAGCACAGCAAACCCGCCAGGATCAAAGTGTACCAGTTGGCAGCATGGGTAAGGAGAGGGGCTTCCAATCACGCATTGCCTGCTCTGTCTGCCCCTAACTTGGAAGGCCCTCCCCCAGAAAATGCTAGAAAACCTGAGGGGGTAGCTGGGGAGGGAGCAGTGGACTCTGCTTCATTGTCCCCAGTCTGCACACCCCTCCCCCACCACCCCGCTGCATTTCCCAGCTTAGCCAAACTTTCTGAGGAAGGTGGGCAGAGGCACTGCTGGGAAGTGGGATCCTGGGCCCTGACTTGGCTCCATTCAGCAGAGGCTGGGGCCAGGGTGCCTTTCTGCAGCTGGGAAAATCAGACGGGGGCGCTCTTAGTGAACACCACTCGGTCCCTGGCCCTCACATAGGAAAGAGATGATCCTGATTTCAGCCCTGGGCCAACTTTGCACTCCAGGGAGGGAGGTAGGGAGTCCAAGCTTTTCTGTGCCCAGGTCACTCTCTAGCTACCCCACACAGCAAAGCTCTTTGGGAGGGAAATCAGAGACACCCGCGCTCTTTCACTGGGGACCTGTTTCAATGCCTCCTCCACCCCTAAATCCCCCCTTGGCCCTGCTATTCCTCCATCCGTGGGCTCCTGGGTGACAGGCTGAGAAGGAATTGGGGTTTGGTTGGGAGGTCCTTCCCCACTTGAGGCTGGCTCTTCCTCAGCTGGCAGAATGCCCAGCAGCCAGCCTGGCATGGAAAACCCACTTGAGCTTTCCCTGGGTCTATCCCAAACCCAGAGCTGCTCTGAGATCTTGCTTGAGATGCTTCAGAGGGGGGCTATTCCCCAGAAAGAGGAATGATGCTCCCTGGGGCTGCGGTGGCATGCTGGGCCTGACCCTGCGAAATGCTGGGGCTGGGGTTGCTGGGGTTGCTGGGGTTGTTGGGGTGGGGGGTGAGCAGAGGCTGCAGAGCGGGCAGCTCCTCCTCTGCACCTTTACTTCCCTCTCAGTTTCTCCCTGGCTTTGTAGTTTTTGTATCTCTGTCTTGATGTCTTGGAGTTTTTTAACCTCCTTTCCCTTCTGTATCCAGCAACTTCCTTCCCCACCCCCTGGCATCTGGTGCCAAGCCCGACTTAGCAAGGTTATGTAGCAGAACTGGATCTCTCTCTCTCTTTCTCCCTGCCCCACCTCCAGCCCTCTCTCCGGGCATCAAGCACTCTCTGGCATTCTCCTGACCTCTGGCACAGCCCTTCCCATATTTACACAGTAACTCACTGTTTTTTTTTTTTTTTTTTTTTTGAGTCAGAATTTCACTCTTGTAGCCCAGACTGGAGTGCAGTGGTGCGATCTCGGCTCACTGCAGCCTCCACCTCCCGGGTTCAAGCCATTCTCCTGCCTCAGCCTCCCAAGTAGCTGGGATTACAGGTGTACGCCACCACGTCCAGTTAATTTTTGTATTTTTAATAGAGACAGGGTTTTGCCATGTTGGCGAGGCTGGTCTCAAACTCCTGACATTAGGTAATCTGCCCGCCTCAGCCTCCCAAAGTGCTGGGATTACAGGTGTGAGCCACCACACATGGCCTAATTCAGTTTTATGAAAGGACTTTGAAATACATTGTCTTACTTGTCCTCCATATCTACCTAGAGAAGTAGGTAGAATATCATTATTGCCCACTTTTCATAAATGAAGAGGAGAAAATGGAGAAACGGGGCATCAGACCTGGGACTTGAAACCAGGTTTCCAGACTCTGAACGCTGTTGCTGCCTCTCAACTTCCTAAGTCCTTTGGCTGCTGCGAGTGGGAGTCCCAAGCCCCAGCGGTGGCCCCCACTCTGCCTACTCCTGGCTCCTCACTTGCGGCCCAGCTGTGAAGGCAGAGGCTGGACTGGCCACAGGACAAGGCAGGAGACAGGGCCCAGGCCTGTGGACTCCACTCCAGGGTTTCTTTCAGCCTGCCGCCCCGTCTGGGTTATTCTTTAGCCCCTGCTCCCCAGCAGGCCCCAAACTCTGATGCTGGGGTGCTGGCAGCTGTGATGTCCCAGCCCTGCTGCACATCTGCTGACTTCCCTCCTGGAGATTAGTGTGACCCCTCTTGCCAGACTTCAGAGATAAGAAGGGTTGCTCCCTACCTCTCTGGTGGGCAGGCCTCTGGGCTCTCCAGAGTTGGGCCAAACACCTCACTTTCCAGATAAAGGAAGTGGGGCACACCCAGGGGTAGAAACCGGCCTGAGGACTTCCAGCTGCTATTAGCCCCAGTTATGTACTCAGTTATGTACTCCAGCCCTTGGCTAGCAGCCTGGGATCAGGACCCAGGGGAGAGAAAAGCAGGAATTGGCCTCCCCCTGATATAGAAACATCTTGGTGAAGGGAGCTGAGCAGGCGCCACGCTGTCTCCCTGAGAGTGGCTCCCCACGAACAGTGCCTGGGCTTTGGCCAGACAAGCAGAGAGCTGCACACCAACTGCATCCTTGTGTTTACTTCTCGTAAAAGCCCACTGTGGAATTCTTACCATCTCCGTTTTATAGACGATGCAGAAATTGAGGTCGAGGAGCTTCAGTACTTTGCCCAAGCTCCCCTGGCTAGTCAGTGGCGGGCTGGGGTTGGGCTCCGAGTCTGTGTCATATTCACTACACCACACGACCCCAGCTGCATCAGCCCTCCTCCGGCCCTCCCTGGGCCCTGCTGGACTGTCTGTCTACCTTCAGGTCATGTGTCTCCAGCTCTTCCCAGCACAACCTCACCCTCATCAGGGCTCTGAGGGGGCAGAGAGGACAGGCCAGAGCAACGAGGCTGGATTGGGGACGTAGGCCAGCCGCACTGCCGTGGCCCACTGGGATGTATGCTGCAGGATGTGGGGAGGGAGCCTTCACCCTCGAGTGTGGCCCAGCCAATGTGCCCCATTGCTTCCACAGCTACAAAATGTGGGAACTGTGGACCCGGCTACTCCACCCCTCTGGAGGCCATGAAAGGTAATTGCCATGGTCTGAGAGCCAGTGCCCTACTGCTGATTCCACAGCCAGGGGTGGAGGAACTTCAGACCTAGCCCCCACCCTCTGGCACACCCAGCACTTCCCCTGCCCTTCCTTCCCACCCTGCCGTCCCTGCTGCCTGCTTTCTACCCTGCAGGACCCAGAGAAGAGATCGTCTACCTGCCCTGCATTTACCGAAACACTGGCACTGAGGCCCCAGATTACCTGGCCACTGTGGATGTTGACCCCAAGTCTCCCCAGTATTGCCAGGTAAGGCAGGGCTTGGGCACCAGCTACTTTAAGAGCGTAGCTGCCCTCCTCCCTGGCCCTGGGGCCCCCCTTCCCAGCTCTATCCTTCTTGGTCCTCCCTGGGTATGGATGGGCAGGCTCAACCTGGGACAAGGGGAGTGCTGAAATCCAGCCTGTGCCGTGCTTCCAAAACAAAATAGGTCCACAGGGGCCCCTCTTCCAGAAGCGGACAGAGGCGTGGCCTGGAAGAGCACCCCATCTCCCCACATCCTAGGTCATCCACCGGCTGCCCATGCCCAACCTGAAGGATGAGCTGCATCACTCAGGATGGAACACCTGCAGCAGCTGCTTCGGTGATAGCAGCAAGTCGCGCACCAAGCTGGTGCTGCCCAGTCTCATCTCCTCTCGCATCTATGTGGTGGACGTGGGCTCTGAGCCCCGGGCCCCAAAGCTGCACAAGGCATGTCTTCTGCCCTTGCCAGCTCAGTAGACCACAAGACACCTGCCACCCCAGGCAGCCTACGGGCAGGAAGCCAGACCTAAACCAGCAGCCTCCAGCTCTCACACAGGATCTGGCTCGGCAGCAGGGAGGGAGGTTGGACTTCAGAGCAGAGTCTACCCAGGCATTCTGGGTCATCACCCTCCAGCACGGTGACCAGGGCACTGGAGAAGAGGGAGGAGGCTTCTTGTTTTACTCTGAGAGAGGGAGGGAGCCATTTACTCCCCCTATGCGGTTAGGAGCTCAGGGCTTCTTTTAAAAACTCCAATCCCTCCCAACACTTTGTTTAGTGCACTCTTGGTGCCGAGCACGTACTGTGTTGTCTACTGGTAATACAGAGTTAACACAGGTCTGGGCCAGCCCGGGAGGAGCTTATGGTTTCACAGGGCTGCGTGTGCCTTCAGGACACACGGGGAAAGGTCAGCGCTTCCTGCCCGGGGAGTTATTAGCAATCTCTCTGACTTTCCCTTGCTGCTCTGTAGAAGTTACCAGACTGAATCTCTGTCATATTCCCACAGGGAGAGTTGTGTCCATGTTTTGAAGGAAAAGATGACAGAGTCAGCAGATAGAAGTAGGAGGAGTATGGCGGTTAAGAGCAGGGACTCCCAGTCCCGTATGATTCTGACACCATTCCCCACCCCTTCCAGGTCATTGAGCCCAAGGACATCCATGCCAAGTGCGAACTGGCCTTTCTCCACACCAGCCACTGCCTGGCCAGCGGGGAGCTGATGATCAGCTCCCTGGGAGACCTCAAGGGCAATGGCAAAGGTACCTGCCAGCATATGTGCTCATGAAAACTTCCATAGCTGTGAAATGTGGAAAGCATTGTTCTGTGGGAGGAGCAGAATGGAAGGGGAGGGATGGAATGACTTTCCAAGGAGAACCAGTGAGCTGGATCCCAGTCAGTATTTTAAATGTTAGCAAGTAACTTCAGTTTTGAATATTTCTATTAAGATGAGTCTTCACTGATGAATTCAGTTCAAAGTTATAGTCAAAACAGGCCAGGTGTGGTGCTTTACACCTATAATCCCAGCACTTCAAGAGGCCGAGGCCAGCGGATCGCCTGAGCTCAGGAATTCCAAACCAGCCTGGCCAACATGGTGAAACCCCGTCTGTGTGTTGTCTGCCGATAACACAGAGTTGGCACTGGCAACTCTGCACTAAAAATACACAAATTAGCTGGGTGTGGTGGTGCAGGCCTGTAACCCCCACTTCTCAAGAGGCTGAGGTAGGAGGATCACCTGAGCCCAGGGAGGTCGAGGCTGCAATGAGCTGTAATTGAACCACAGCATTTCAGCTTGGGCGTCAGAGTGAGACCTTATCTCAAAAAAAATGTAGTGAGCAGAATGGAGCTTAGACTCTGGGAGGAATCCCACTCCAAAAGTGGGAGGCTGGACAACAGAATACCAGGTACTGAGTCCCAGAAGATATTGTAGGAGAAACATTTCTGCTGTGGTCTGAGAGAGGGATGAAGTTGATAGGAGGCAGGGGCACTAGGGTAAAGCACCCCCTGCCACCTGGCCACCTTTGAATGCCTGGGTGAGACCCTTTGGATGCCTGAATTTTTTATTTACTTTTTCTTTTCCTTTTTTTTTTTGAGATGGAGTCTCGCTCTGTTGCCCAGGCTGCTGGTGTGCAGTGGCGCAATCTCAGCTCACTCCAACCTCCACCTCACTGGTTCAAGCTCCTGAGTAGCTGGGATTACAGGCACGTGACACCATGCCTGGGTAATTTTTTGTATTTTTGATAGAGACAGGGTTTCACCATGTTGGCCAGGCTGTTCTTGAACTCCTGACCTCAAGTGATCCGCCCGCCTCAGCCTCCCACAGTGCTGGGATTACGGGTATGAGCCACTGCGCCCCCAGCCATGGATGCCTGAATTTAAGGAGCTGGCAAATCCAGCAGTGGAGGTGGAGGCAATGGGCCTTCAGCCTCTTAGCCGTGCCTGGGGGAGAGGGCTGGAGGGTGGGGTTAGTGTCTCTACTGCCTCTACCTGCCACCCTACTTACTTCCCTGTTCAGGGGGTTTTGTGCTGCTGGATGGGGAGACGTTCGAGGTGAAGGGGACATGGGAGCGACCTGGGGGTGCTGCGCCATTGGGCTATGACTTCTGGTACCAGCCTCGACACAATGTCATGATCAGCACTGAGTGGGCAGCTCCCAATGTCTTACGAGATGGCTTCAACCCTGCTGATGTGGAGGCTGGTGAGAATCCCCCCACGGGCCAGCAGGAGCCTTGGGCCCACATCCCCTTGCTTTCTGCTCCAAATCTCCCAGCCCCGCACTTCCCTCCTGTGGCCCCAGAATCTGAGGGAGATGGCATAGGATGCACTGCGTGCTCAGATTGCTCAAGCGTCCTCCTGATCCCTCCAATCCATTTCTTAACCTTCTGCCCTGGTTAGTGGCCTGTCTGCCCATGCCTTCCAACCCCTGATGCTGAGCCTATCCTCCGGCCCCACCCCCACCCCAGGGCTGTACGGGAGCCACTTATATGTATGGGACTGGCAGCGCCATGAGATCGTGCAGACCCTGTCTCTAAAAGATGGGCTTATTCCATTGGAGATCCGCTTCCTGCACAACCCAGATGCTGCCCAAGGCTTTGTGGGCTGCGCGCTCAGCTCCACCATCCAGCGCTTCTACAAGAACGAGGTGACATACGCCCTCTGGCCCTCCCCTCCCAGTAGTTTTGTCAGCAGCTCTACCTAAGCAGGCTTCTGTAATGGTGCTCCCAGGCATCTCCAGGAACGAAAAAAACGAGGCTGCATGCCTTGTCTCTCTTCTCTCAGTGGTAGGCCAACTTCTGCCTGAACCCTAACTGGCCATATTTATTCATTCATTCAAAAACTACTCAGTGAATTTCTGTGCTGGGCACTGTGCTATGTTCTGGGAATGCAGTGATGAGGCAAACACAACCCCTGCCTAAAGGGGCTTGCATGGAGTTAGATCCTAGTGGAAAGAAGGCCGGTCATCTATTCTCTCCCTCCCAGGTCTGGGCAACCCAGATCTAACCCTCAGTCCCCAATTCTGATAGGCTCACCTCTCTGCCAGCTAACCTAACCCTCCACCCCTCAACGTAGGGAGGTACTTGGTCAGTGGAGAAGGTGATCCAGGTGCCCCCCAAGAAAGTGAAGGGCTGGCTGCTGCCCGAAATGCCAGGTGAGTGCCTAGGGCACGGGAAAGTTGATTCTTGGCCTGGGAAACAAGAGTCCTTAAAGGCTCTACTCGCCTCCGCCCCCAGGCCTGATCACCGACATCCTGCTGTCCCTGGATGACCGCTTCCTGTACTTCAGCAACTGGCTGCATGGGGACCTGAGGCAGTATGACGTCTCTGACCCACAGAGACCCCGCCTCACAGGACAGGTGGGGGCCCTGGCAGGAGGAGCAGAAGGGAAGAAAGGAAGGAAGGATAAGAGAATCTGGGGATGGGGTGGATGGTCTGAAGCAGCTGGCGGATGATGAGGGAGGTGCAGGAAAAGCAGACATGTGGGCTGCGGGACAGCGAAGGCCCAGGACTGTCCAGGCCAGGGATGGGCATGCAGAGCATGTCTGAAAGGAAAGAGGGATCCCAGTCAGGCAAGCTGCTCTTCCTGCAACATGTGCGCCTCCCACTACGGTCCTCCTTATCCTCTGCACCTCCCCATCCAGCTCTTCCTCGGGGGCAGCATCGTTAAGGGAGGCCCCGTGCAAGTGCTAGAGGACCAGGAACTAAAGTCCCAGCCAGAGCCCCTGGTGGTCAAGGTAAGAGCCTCTCCCCCTACTTGCTGGACTCCTCAGACCCATGCTTGAGGAATACGTGGGGGAGCAGCTGAGCATGCTCTTGGGTTTGGGGTGGTGCCTAGGATCTGTGTGTTACCCTGGGCTCTGACCCCTGGTTTTCCCAAGGGAAAACGGGTGGCTGGAGGCCCTCAGATGATCCAGCTCAGCCTGGACGGGAAGCGCCTCTACGTGACCACGTCGCTGTACAGCGCCTGGGACAAGCAGTTTTACCCTGATCTCATCAGGTGAGAAGCAGACACATGGGCTCACCTCCCCAGCCCTCCTCTTCCAGAGGGGTCATTTGGCTTTCTGAAGACTCCTTAGGGACACCCGTGTACCCCACCACACAGATGGCCCATCAAGACCCTGGTCATTCCTTGTTCCTCAGGAGCCTTCCCCTAAAATCTCTGACTTCTCCCTTACCCCATTCCCCTTTTCCACCAGGGAAGGCTCTGTGATGCTGCAGGTTGATGTAGACACAGTAAAAGGAGGGCTGAAGTTGAACCCCAACTTCCTGGTGGACTTCGGGAAGGAGCCTCTAGGCCCAGCCCTCGCCCATGAACTCCGCTACCCTGGGGGCGATTGTAGCTCTGACATCTGGATTTGAACTCCACCCTCATCACCCTCAGTCCATATTTTGAGCCCTCACTTCCTTGGGGACCTGGCTTCATTCTGCTCTCTCTTGGCACCCAACCCTTGGCAGCATGTACCACACAGCCAAGCTGAGACTGTGGCAACGTGTTGAGTGGTATCCATTTACCGACCACTGTTGCTTGTTGCTCACTGTGCTTCTTTTCCATGAGCTCTTGGAGGCACCAAGAAATAAACTGTTGACCCTGTTCTTCAGATGGCCTTGTCTTTGGGGGCCTGAGGCCTGTGTCTCCTCTTCTGTCTACGCTTTGTATCTTGTACAAGAAAAGGCTAAAGAGGCCTCTGGGGGGGTTATGGTAACTAGTTCACACCAGTGATGCTAATAATGCCAAAATCTCACTTTTATGGCCAGACAGAATCTGAAAATTTTGGGGATGATTGTCACAAGGAGACCTGGGGGTAGAGAATGTAAATTTGTGTTTCTGAAGTTTTGTTTTTTTAACCCATGCTTTCTTTTAATGAACCTAAAAATCTCACCCATCACTCCCAAGACAATGTAATATGCTCCCTCACACACAGGAGACCCCAGGACCCCTTTTCTGTATAGTGTAATAAATTTCCACTGATGGCAAGACTACTGGGAGAACTCAGTTGTTGGGAGGTTTATTAGGCTGCTCTTGCATTGCTGTAAAGAAATACCTGAGACTGGGTAATTTATAAAGAAAAGAGGTTTAATTGGCTCATGGTTCTGCAGGCTCTACAGGAAGCATGACGCTGGCATCTGCCCGGCTTCTCGGGAGGCCTCAGGAAACTTACAGTCGTGGCAGAAGGTGAAGGAGGAGCACAAACATCACATAGCTAGAGTAGGAGCAAGAGACAGAGAGAGTGAGGGGGAGGTGCCACACACTTTTAAACAATCAGATCTCAGGAGAACCCACTCATGATCTCGAGGATAGTACCAAGGTGGGGTGGTGCTAAACCATTTATGAGAAACCCATCCCCCATGATCCAGTCATCTCCCACCAGGCCCCACCTCCAACACTGGGAATTACAATTTGACATGAGATTTGTTGGAGACACAGGTTCAAACCATATCATTCTGCTGCTGCTCCCTCCCAAATCTCACATCCTTTTCACCTTTCAAAATACAATCATGCCTTTCCAATAATCCCCAAAGTCTTTTTTTTTTTTTTTTTTTGAGATGGAGTCTCGCTCTGTCACCCAGGCTGGGGTGCAGTGGCCGGATCTCAGCTCACTGCAAGCTCTGCCTCCCGGGTTTAGGCTATTCTCCTGCCTCAGCCTCCCGAGTAGCTGGGACTACAGGGGCCCGCCACCTCGCCTGGCTAGTTTTTTGGATTTTTTAGTAGAGATGGGGTTTCACGGTGTTAGCCAGGATGGTCTTGATCTCCTGACCTCGTGATCCGCCCGTCTCGGCCTCCCAAAGTGCTGGGATTACAGGCTTGAGCCACCGCGCCCGGCCAATCCCCAAAGTCTTAATCATTCCAGCATTAACTTAAAAGTCCGAAGCCCAAAGTCTCATCTGAGAAAAAGCAAGTCCCTTCCACCTATAAGCCTGTAAAATAAAAAACAAGTTAGTTACTCCCAAGATACAATGGGAGTATAGGCATTGGGTAAATACTCCCATGCCAAAAGGGAGAAATGAGCCAAATGAAAGGGGCTTCAGGCCCCATGCAAGTCCAAAACCCAGCAGGGCAGTTGTTAAATATTAATACTCCAAAATAATCTCCTTTGATGCCATGTCCCAAATCCAGGGCACACTGGTGCTAGGGGTGGGCTCCCAAGGCCTTGGGCTCTGCCCCTGTGGTTTTGCAGGGTTCAGCCCCCATGACTGCTCTCATGGGCTGGTGTTGAGTGCCTGTGGCTTTTCCAGCTGCAGGGTGCCAGCTGGCAGTGGATCTACCATTCTGGGGTCTGGAAGACAGTGGCCCTCTTCTCACAGCTCTACTAGGCAGCACCCCAGTGGGGACTCTGTGTGGGCGCTCCAACCCCACATTTCTCCTCCACCCCACCCTAGTAAAGGTTCTCCATAAGTGTTCTGCCTCTGTAGCAGGCTTCTGCTTGGAGCCCAGGCTTCTCCATACATCCTCTGAAATCTAGGCGGAGGCTCCCAAGCCTCAACTCTTGCACTCTGCACAGCTTCAGGCTTAACACCACGTGGAAGCTGCCAAGGCTTAGGTTTGCACTCTCTGGAGCAGTGGCCCAAGCTACACCTGGGCCCCTTTGAGCCACCACCTGGAGCTGGAGCAGCTGGAATGCAGGGAGCAGTACAGAGCAGGGGGGCCCTGGACATGGCCCACAAAACCATTCAGTCCTCCTAGGCCTCTGGACCTGTGATGGGAGGAGCTGCTGCAAAGGTCTCTGAAATACCTTTGAGGCCTCCCACCAGGCTCTACCTCCAACACTAGGGATTACCACTGAACATGAGATATGATGGAGACACAGATCCAAACCATATCAGGAGGTTAAATGTGTCACCTCTACCTAGAATACAGAAACATTAACACACAGGAGGGCTAAGAACACCATGGTGAACCAATCCAACAGGCCAGGCCATGGCACTCTTGTCTCCTCACCCAGATGGTATTTTAGAACCTTACTCAGAGATGTCTCCTTTCCCTGTGCTAGGTGCTTCTCCTCCTCCTCCTCCTCCTCCTCTTCCTCTTCTTCTTCTTCTTCTTTCTTCTTCCTCTTCTTCATTTCTTCCTCTTCTCCCTCTGCCTCTTCCTCCTCCTCCACCTCTTCCTCTTCTCCTCCTCCTCCTTCTTATTCCTCCTCCTCTTCTTCTTTCTTCTCCTTCTTCTTCCTCTTTTTCTCCTTCCTTCCTCCTTCTCCTCCTTCTTTTCTTCTTTCTTCTTCTTCAAGATAAAGTTTCCCTATATTGCTCAGGTTGGTCTCAAACTCCTGGGCTCAAGTGATCATCTTGCCTCAGCCTTGCAAAGTTCTGGGATTACACAAGTGAACCACCATGACCAGCCTTCAATTCGTTTTTCTTTTCTTTTTCTTTTTTTTTTTTTTTTTTGAGACAGGGCCTTACTCTGGTGCCCAGGCTGGAATGCAGTGGCACAATTGCAGCTCGCTGCAGCCTAACGTAAGCATCACACCTGGCTCAATTCTTTATAGAAGGAATCTAATAGAAATGTCAGGACCCTTAGAGACAGCAGCCAAATGGTAATTATTATTTTATTTTATTTTGGATAGAGTCTTGCTCTGTCACCCAGACTGGAGTGCAGTGGCACAATCTTGGCTGACTGTAACATCTGCCTCCTGGGTTCAAGCAATTCTTTTGTCTCAGCCTCCCAAGTAGCTGGAATTGCAGGCATGTGCCACCACACCTGGATACTTTTTGTATTTTTAGTAGAGACTGGGTTTCACCATATTGGCCAGGCTGGTCTCGAACCCCTGAACTCAAGAGATCCGCCCACCTCGGCTTCCCAAAGTGCTGGAATTACAGACATGAGCCACCGTGCCCAGCCCAAATGGTAATTCTACTGACTCCTTTATTCTCTACCTAGACAATATTAAATAACATTCAGGTATTGACTTACATTCTTTTCAGTCTTCTGAAAAGGTATCTTTCTTTTAAACATTGGAGCAGCCTAGGACCCCCAGTATGGTCTCACCACCCCAGGAATACACCATACTTTCCCTTTGAGGCCTTTAAACACACTCTCTGAGACGTCCACCTCAACTGGAGTCCCGATTCCCTCCTTCTGCCTCACCTGCCATCCAAGCCAGATTTCCATGTCCTCTGGGAAACCTCCTTCCCTGGCTCCTCCAGGCCAGGGGCCCATCTTAACACCCACAAAGCCTGCTGCACTTAACCTCATCATAAACACATGTCTGTTTGAATCGAAACTCTCTGTTAATTCCCAGTACCTAGCTTGGATGTTGGCACTTAGCATGCTTTAATGAATAAATGGATATAAAGGAAGTGCTCAAGATGAGTAGGGAGTTACAGGGAGCCTTGGGATTTACAAGGTTTTACCATAAGTTTCTCTCCTTAGTCTCTGCCCTGTTCTCTTCAATAATCAAACTTCTTCAGAATGAGAAAGGATAATGTAGTTCTACATCATTTCTATCTCTTCCTAAAAGCTTAAAATTCCACTCAACAATATTCCATCCCATTCATCTTGTTCATTCTGGTAAGAGCAATTGCCATACCTAAAGGCAGGGAAACTACTGAAGACAACTGGGGCGGCCAGGAGTGGTGGCTCACGCCTGTAATCCCAGCACTTTGGGAGGCCGAGGAGGGTGGATCACGAGGTCAGGAGTTCGAGACCAGCCTGGCCAAAATGGTGAAACCCCATCTCTACTAAAAATAAAAAAATTAGCGGGGCATGGTAGCACACGCCTGTAATCCCAGCTACTCAGGAGGCTGAGGCAGGAGAATCACTTCAACCTGGGAGGCGGAGCTTGCAGTGAGCCAAGATCGCGCCATTGCACTTGAGCCTGGGCGACGGAGCGAGACTCTGTCTCCAAAAAAAAAAAAAGACAACCAGGGCTATGTCTGAAGGACTCATGCCATATCTGACAAAAGATTTGTATCTAGAATGCATGAAAAACTCAGCCGGGCGCGGTGGCTCACGCCTGTAATCCCAGCACTTTGGGAGGCCGAGGCGGGCGGATCACAAGGTCAGGAGATCGAGACCACGGTGAAACCCCGTCTCTACTAAAAATACAAAAAATTAGCCGGGCGCGGTTGTGGGCGCCTGTAGTCCCAGCTACTCGGGAGGCTGAGGCAGGAGAATGGCGTGAACCCGGGAGGCGGAGCTTGCAGTGAGCCGAGATCGCGCCACTGCACTCCAGCCTGGGAGACAGAGCGAGACTCCGTCTCAAAAAAAAAAAAAAAAAAAAAAAAAAATGCATGAAAAACTCTAAAAACTCAACAGTAAAGCCGGGCACGGTGGCTCAAGCCTGTAATCCCAGCACTTTGGGAGGCCGAGACGGGCGGATCACGATGTCAAGAGATCGAGACCATCCTGGCTAACACGGTGAAACCCCGTCTCTACTAAAAAAATACAAAAAACTAGCCGGGTGAGGTGGCGGGCACCTGTAGTCCCAGCTACTCGGGAGGCTGAGGCAGGAGAATGGTGTAAACCCAGGAGGCGGAGCTTGCAGTGAGCTGAGATCCGGCCACTGCACTCCAGCCTGGGCGACAGAGCGAGACTCCGTCTCAAAAAAAACAAAAACAAAAACAAAAAAAAACCTCAACAGTAAAAAAACAAACACTCCAGTTAGAAAACGAGCAAAAGGGACGGGCATGGTGGCTCACACTTGTAATCTCAGCACTTTGGGGGGACGAGGCGTGTGGATCACTTGAGGCCAGTAGTTCGAGACCAGCCTCACCAACATGGCGAACCCCATCTCTACCAAAAATACAAATATTAGCCAGGTATGGTGGCGTGCACTTGTAGTCCCAGCTACTTGGGAGGTTGAGGCAGGAGAATCGCTTGAACATGGGAGGTGGAGGTTTTGGTGAGCTGAGGTCATGTCACTGCATTCCAGCCTGGGTGACAGCATAAGACTCAGTCTCAAAAAAAAAAAAAAAAAAAAAAAAAAAAAAGGGAGCCAGGTGTGTTGGCTCACGCGTGTAATCCCAGCACTGTGGGAGGC